GTACGAGCTCTCCTAGTTACCGTACACTTGTTCAATTGCCTTATTTCTTGCTATCCATGTCTTTCTGTAAGACGGAGTAAAATTGAATTCGGAAACAATTTTACTTATGCAAACACTAACCTTAATAGAAGGATCTTTGTCTACAAAAGGCATTAATTTTTGAGACATTAACTGCGAGGTTAGTTTTTGATGATCCTGATTAAACAAAGTTGTTGAACAACTATGGGGTGGGTTCATAATGCCTATCTCCCACATCTCACTTCTTTTTCGGTAGGACACCACTAGACGAAACTTGCAGGAATCATTCCTGCAACAAATTATGTATCTCTTCTTGTCGGAATCTGTCACTTTATAATCCACACAATGTTTCATGTGGTATTTCTTAATGGCAGCGACACAGTCAGCTTTATTTTTAAATTGGTAACCGACTTCTATGTCACCCTCCGCGGGAAAACGAGGATTCCGTGGCCAATCAAATGATGTTCCTTCTACGTTTAGTGGGTTGTCATATGCGCTGGTGGGATGAATACATTTTCAACTGGAACACATTGATCATCTATGTTGACTTTGTTCCCTTCCTCAAACAAGGTAGTATATAAATCATCAACTTGTGCCTCGTTTTCTTCTTCGCCGTCTCCTTCTTCAACATCTTCGTGTGGAATTATGGATGGATTGATCACCTGAGAAGCCTGAGTTTCTTGAACTTGTGCACATGTTATATATAAATCAATATGCTGAAACCCACAACGTTCATGATTCGAGAACATCATTTCAACATCCTCGTCGTCACGAATCTTCAGTGGAACAAATTTAAAGCGATTGTCGCTGAAATGGATGGCATTTTTGTACGTCATCTGTGACACTGATCCAGCTTGCACCTTCATCTGTACCCTATCTTTAAAATGTTGGAATGACGATCTTCTATTAACAGTGAAACGAATTACGTCAGTGTTTTCAAAAATCAAACCCACTTCATCTGATACAACAACACTTCCATTGAAATGGGCATTAACAATATATTGTTGACTACTAGACATTATGTAAGATGAAGAAATATTGTTGATAGTATGAAGAAGTAAATTATATAAGAAAAGGTATATTAGTAGAATTTGGAGATAGTAGTAGAATTTGACTAGTAGTATATTAATATATTTGAGTAGTGGTGGTAGAATTTGGAGATAGTAGAATTTGAGATAGTAGAATTTGAGATAGTAGTAGCAGAAAAAAATTATTTGAGTAGAATTTGAGATAGTAGAATTTGAGATAGTAGAATTTGAGTAGTAGTAGTAGAAGAAAAAAATATTGTATTAGTAAATTTTATAAGAACCAGCCATGCAGTAATATCACGTGATAGTAGTATACACATAGACGCCCATTGAATATGCGGTGGTCAAACGCATTACACCCAACCGCCCATTAGTGGAACGGGTGTCTGAAAAGCAATAAATATGTCTGAATGTTGCCGCCCATTAATGGAACGGGTGTCAGGAATAAAGACACACAACCGCCCTTTGAAACAACGGTTGTCAGGATTAAAGACACTCAACCGCCCATTGAATATGCGGTGGTCAAACGCTTTAATGCTCTGCACCCATGCATGCGGACACGTACCTATGCATGCAGAAATTCAAACTCTATGCATGCAGAAATTCAATTGCCTTCTTAATTATTTACCAACACACCATTAAATTTAAACAACTTCTACAACTATATTTAACTCTTACAATTATATTTCTCTCCTACATATTTACCTCTTACAATTATATTTCCATCAACTTCAAACAACTTCTACAACTATATACTTGAATCAACTAAATACCATTTTCAAACAACTTCAGCATACCTATCTCACTCTTAAAAAATCTCTCAAAAATGGTTTTACTCACCTTAGGAGATGACCACCATGGTACACTTGAAAATATTGCATCTTATGTAAGTTAATTTATATTTATTTAAAGTTAGTTATGTTATATTCTAATAAAGTAAGTTAGTTATGTTATATTCTAATAATGTAAGTTAGTTATGTTATATTCTAATAATGTTACTCACCATAAGTATATTTATTTAAAGTAAGTTAATTTATTTATGATGTTACTTATTTTTAATGTTAGTTTAATGTTACTTATGATGTTACTTATTTTTTATTTTGTAGGATGAAAAAAATTTCAAACCACGCTCACATAAGTATATAGAGCCTGATGAGGTTATCCTACCGTATTTGATTCAAGCGGGTTTCGGTCACGTCATCAAGATAACATCATATGGAATTGATCGCAAATTTCTTCTCGCGTTGTGCGAAAGATGGCGACCCGAAACCCACACTTTTCATCTTCTCACGGGGGAATGCACAGTGACACTTGAGGATGTCCATATGTTGTTGGGTCTCCGTGTCAATGGCTTAGCGGTTGTGGGTAACACAAACGTTAACTATGAATTAGTGGAACAACTATTGGGGGTGCCTTTAGAACGAGGTGATAGGAAGGGGCAAAGCCTTAAAATCACATGGCTAAAAAGAATTTATGGCAACTTGAACATAACCAATGAGTCTCCCGAGGAACAAAAAATTTATAAGACTAGAATTTATTTACTATTGCTTTTTGCATATTTTTTATTTCCGGATACTAATGGTAATACTATCCATCTTCAATATTTACCATTATTAGAAGATTTAAGAGAAGTGAGTAATTATAGTTGGGGCGCTGCTACATTAGCGCATCTATACAGAAATTTGTGTAGATGCGCAATGAAAAATGTACATAATTTTGCTGGTTGTGGTGTTTTGATTCAAGCCTGGGGATGGTCCAGAATGCCCAGACTGTCGCCGATCAACCCCAATCCATTTCACTTTCCATACGTAACCAAGTAAGTATATAAAGTTTATGTATATATTATTTTCATCTATAATTTTTACTAACTATTTCTTTTATAGGTGGTCCGCGTATGAGATGAATTACGAAAAAACTCCGCATCATTGTGCTCCTGGGTATCGGACGTTCTTCGATCATTTTGAGGAAGATGATGTATTGTCTCTAATCCCTTATTTTCTTACTAGCACTTTCCATATTTTTTCCTCTAATCCCTTTTTAATTATGTTATAGTTTCTATGGAGACCCTATCTTGAACTTGAAGATGAGGATCCAACTGAAAGCGATATGTGGAGTTCTACAACATTCATAATTTCTTTCACTATTGTTGAAATGCATCATTCAGATAGGGTAAAACTCCAATTCAGAATTAAACAAGACATTCCTGGTCCACCTACATGCATGGAGAGGTACCACAAGAGTGCAACGAACGAACAATGGAAATTCGATGATTGGAGAGACCATAACAGACAAGAACGACAACACTGAATGAATCGTCGCTGCACTGTTCTACGAGGAAATGTCATGGATGCCGAATGTAAACCAAGTAGAGAATACATGAGTTGGTATAGATCTGTGACCAATTTGTATCTATCACAAAATAAATACTTGTGGGACCCTCGAAACCAACCAACTTTATCAAACTTCCAAAACACCCCCTCCATGACTTGTGACACCCAACCACCAATATTTAACACCCCACAACAAATATTTAACACCCCATTCAACCCAAACCCAACACAACCACCTTATACCCCAAACCAACACTACAATCAACCTTACACATCATTTAACCCAAACCCCTTCAACATCCAACAACAAAACCCAACCTCATCATACCCCCAATATAACCAATTCTCATTCTCTCAACCTACCCAACAAGAACACAACTACCAAACACCCCAACCACAAGTTCCTTTTTACCCTTCACAAAACTTCACCCTTTCTCAAGACCAACATCCATACACCCCCTTCATGACTAACGCGACGCCACCTATAAACCCACCAAGTTGGAGTAACGAGGGTACAAGATTAAGTTATGAAAGTGCGGCGGCGATACCATGTGACGACGATTTCAATGATGATTTGGTCGCTCAATTCATGAACCCTAACAATGATGCAGGTCCATCTACACAGACCCAAAACGTTGAGGTTGATCGTAGAAGGTCCACCAGAAATGTACAAGCTCCTGCCTGTGGAACCCACCAACGCTTACGTCGACCGGGTCAAAATTAATTAAGGGTGAATAGGAATTTTTAGTTCATTTATTTTAATGTACTTTTTTTATTTCAAGAATAAATAAATATTTATTTTAGTTTATTTATTGTATTATATTTCAATGTAGTAATTTATTTTAATTAGTACTATTTTTAAAATAATCATTTTTATTTTATTTTATTTTAATTTACTATAATTATCTATTTAATAATTATTAACTAAATATAATAAACATAATAAATAAAAAATAATGTAATAAATATAATAATTATCTAAATATTATCTATTTATTATATTTAATAATAATATTATCTATTTAATAATTATTTTATTTTAATGATTATTATTTATAATTAAGTAATTATTATTTTATTATAATATTATCTATTTATAATTATTTTAACAATTATTATTTATAATTAACTAAATATAATAAATAAAAAATAAAACGAAAAAAAATTCAGAGACATTGCCGCCCAATGGATGGGCGGTTCTCAAATCTGCATAAAACACTGTCGCCCATTCTCTAATGGATGGGCGGTTGCGTTGTGCTAAAAATTTAATTTTTTTTGAAAAGATGGCATTTTAAAATTTATTTGTAAAACTATGGCATTTTGGGATTTATCTTGTAATAGTATATATTGAATTTCATTGGACCCAAATCTATAAAATAAAAAAATAAAAACTTAAAAACCCAAAATCCAAAATTTGAACACGACCAAAACGGATTAGAATTTCCCAGCCAAGGGATGGGCCGGTTTAAGATCCGCTGCACAGCCCTAGTTCACTCTATTGGTTGAACTCCCGATGTACGAAGCTTTAGTGTGTCAAGATCTTCTTTAAGTTTCAAAAGCGCAACCTTATCCAGATAGTTGTAGCAATAAACGCCCATTACTTCACCTATCCTCTCTTTCTTTCATGAACCTTCAGCGACCTCCGGTAACAAAAATAATTTCATATCCCTTTCTTTCAATTTTCACTCCTTCGGTCCACATGTTGAAGTTCAATACATGGCCCAACAGAACCCTATCCCATCTCAACTGCTTAACCTCCTCCCAACCATCACCATCCTCTCCGCATTTCGATACAATCTCATTCCAAGTCTCCTACCTCGTCAACAATTTAGATTTCTCCCCACAATCCGCTTCCAAACTTTGCTCCACCTACCGTCTTGGTTTCAAAACCACCCAAAACCCTGACTCTGTTCTCAACTTTTTTAGAAACTACGGTTTCTCAAATTCCGAGTTACGCGGCATGATTGCCAAGTCACCGTGGCTGCTTTCCTGCCACCTCTCCAACAGGGTGTTGGCAAAGTTTGAATTTTTTCTCTCCAAAGGTGCTTCTAACTCTGACATTTTTAACCTTGTCAGCAAGAACTCTAGAGTCTTGTCTCCTAGCTTGGAGAATCATATAGTCCCAACCTATGATTTGCTTTATAGATTCTTGAAATCAGACCAGGACGTTATTGCTTCTGCAATTCAGAATTCAGAATTACTCTGTGACCATCTTGTGCCGCGTAACATTACAATGCTGATTGAGAATGGAGTGTCTGACTCAAATATTGTGAATATTCTTCAGACTTGGAGTCAGACATTGAATGTGGAGGACTTGGGGATTTTCGTGGAGGAATTAAAGGATTTGGGGTTTAATCCTTCAAAATATGCTTTTTCTGTAGCATTGGTGGCCAAATCATATGTAACCAAACCCTTGTGGCAGGAGAAAGTTGATGCCTTTAAGAAATGGGGTTGGTCTGATGAAGATGTCATTGAAGCATTTAAAAAGCAACCTTCTTGTATGTTAATATCCATTAAGAAGATGGATTCAGTGATGGATTTCTGGGTAAATCAATTGGGCTGGGATGTTATGGCCCTTGCCAAACAACCGAGGGTTTTAACCTTTAGTTTGGAAAAAAGGATCGCTCCAAGGGCTGCAGTTGTGCAATTTCTTCTGAATAATGGTTTGAGAAGTAAGAACTTAACCTTAACTTATCCATTTATATTGTCTGAGAAGAAGTTTATTTATGCGTTTATAAAACGATATGAGAAGGAGTCTTTTTATCTGTTAAAGTTGTACGAGGAGAAACTCAAGTCTGCATGTCATGATTAGATTATCAGGTATTTGAGCCTTACCGTATTGTTGTTCCATATTTGATTTGAAATTTGTTTGGTACAGACTGTGATTGCATAGGAGGTAATGTTGTGGGAATTTAGAGTTTTATTTTTTATTCAATCTCTTCTCTTTTTGTATGTTTTTTTTATTCAATTTACTCTTTCCTATCTATTTCTTCCCAACATTGTTCATTTTTGCTCCAAGTTTATTGTCTATTTCTCACTAATTTATACCATGAATGTACTCTGAATCAATTTTTCACTTTGACTAGGGGTAGAAAAGCAGGTTGAATCTTGAGCGTTGAAATGATGCAAATTACTATGTTTTGTTTTGAGTATTATAACATGAATAACTAACTCTAAGTTAGTTATATTTTTAATTAGTTAGTTAAAGTTGCTTGATATATAAGCAGCCATATGCCATTGTAACTAATTGAGATTGAATTAGGGGTGTTTGCGGTTTAATAACTGAATTGAACTATGTTTGCAGTGCAGTTCTTATAAATCATTTTAGCAAAAAGTGATTAATCTATTAAATCAGTTATAATTCAGTTTAAAACCAATTCAGAACTGGTTTATAGTTTAAAATCAGTTTAATTTTTTTAACTAGTTTAAAATTAGTTTTTTTCTGAAAGAACTGAATTATCAATTATGTTTTAATTGAATTGCAAAATAGTTTTCTTAAAAGTTTTAAAAGCCAATTTTTTAAATTATTTTTAATAAAATTGGATTCAAATCTGATTTTTTTATTATTTATAAAAATAGTATAAATAGCAGTTTCTTCAAAGAGATTTGTAGTTTCAATTTCTGTATATGATTTTTCACAGAAACCGATTCACTGGTTTAGTGTAAATTACAAAATATTTGACTAATTTGTAATTCTAACCGATTTAAAAAACTAATCACAAAAAACTACTATTTAGTTTCAACTAAATATGATTAGTCAAAGAAAACATACTAATTTGATATAAATAACAGTTTTTTAATGGGAAAAATACGGTTTAAAAAACAATTTTTTAAAAACATTGATTTGCTTTAAAATTATTTTTAAAAACATTGATTTGCTAAATAGAAGTATTTAAGTTTTTGATAAAATAGTAGAAAGAATTTATAACAATTCGAACTAGTTTTAAAATTCAATTAGATTAACTAAATTGGTTAAAATAAACAATTCAATTAAATAACCATTAAAAAAGTTTAAGCTTTTTATGGTTCAATTCAATTCAAATTAGATATTTAATTCGGTTAACCAAGTTTTTGAACACCCCTAGATTGAATGAATAATTTGCTTCTTCTTCTTTTTCACTATTCTATGCATGCTACTCTATCTTTCTTCTTCTTCTTCAAGTCAACCAAAGATTGTCATTTGCATGGTACAAATTGCATAAAATGCATCTTCACTTGGTATCATCAACCTGTGAGCTTCTTCCGCTGTGATTGAAGCTCATCAATCTTCACCTGCTTCGTTACTTCCTTCTGGTTCATTCTTTCTTTCGAGCATGTCGTCTTCAAGCCCATCAAACAGCAACAACAATGGTGGACATGCTTCATAAGCCACTCAAAAAGGTTATCAAACTGATACCCTTAACCCCTATTTCATCCATCCTAATGAAAACCCTGCATTGATCCTTGTTACCCCTCTCCTTTCTAGCAAAAAATTATCATTCTTTGTCGCGATTATTGACCATGGCGCTACGATCCAAGAACAAACTCTATTTCATCAATGGATCTTTATATCGACCACTTGATCATGATCATAATTCAATTGCGTGGGATAAGTGTAAAACCATGATCATGTCATGGATCAACAATTATGTTGAATCATAAATCACTCATAACATCTTATGGATGGACAATGCTGCTGAAATGTGGATTGAATTGAAGGATTGGTTCTATCAAGGAGATATCTTTTGTATATCAGACATTCAAGAAGAAATTTGCACCTTGAAACAAGATGATGCATCTATTTCTTCACACTACACCAAATTGAAAATTTTATGGCAAGAATCGGATAACCTTAGACCAACTTAATTCCTGCATATTATTGTGATTCTACATGCATTTCCATGACCAAGATTCACACCTATAGAGACAATGATCAAGTTATCTATTTCTTGAAGGATTTGAATGATCAATACTCAACAATTCGATCTAAAATTATGTTAATGGATCCTCTTCTAAATATTTGTAAAGTTTATTCTTTGCTTGTCCAACAAGAAAGAAAAAACACTACACCCCTTGATGAATCCAAAGTGTTAGTTGTCCCCAACTCCAATCAGAACCAGGATTCTCAACTCAAATCAAATCCTAACTTTTGTGGTAGAAGCACCAATAGAGGTGGTAGAACTGTTGGTGGCAGAGGTCGGGGAAATCACGTCTGCACTCATTGTAGAATGACCAACCACACTATTGACTCTTTCTTCAAGAAACATGGATATCCCCTTATTGGAAGCAAGATAGTCAATCAATATGCCACTATGTCTGATAAACCTGAAGCTCAGTCAAGTGATTTTTCTATAGTTAATGCACATGATTCCAGTGCCTTTAGTTTTTACTCTAGAGCAACACAAAGCTTGTTGGCTTTACTTCAAGGATCATCACATTCATACTCTCATAGCATCAATCATCTCACTTCCCAACCCGATTTAGGTTTAGGTATCATATAAATATTTTCCACTTGAAACTTTTATAATACACACTGGGGCCACTGATCATGTGTGTTATACCCCTAAATATTTTTGATGTCTTAAAATAATTAAGCCCAACACTATCAAACTGCCTAATGGCAGCCTTGTTACCACTAACTTCTCAGGCACCATCCAATTCAATCAATCTTTTTACATAACTAGTGTATTGTATATGCTTGATTTTGCTTTTAATCTCATATTTGTTCCAAAATTAACCAAAACTCTTCATTTCCAACTTAGTTTCAATGATATTAATTATGTTATACAAGATTCATACTCTAGGAAGATGATTGACACAACTGAATTACATGGTGGATTGCATCTCTTGACCTTCCCATATGTTATCATACACAACACCCCACTTGCCCATTATATCAACTCCATTTGCAATCCTATAGAAACATCCCCCAATTGTAGCCTATGGCATCTAAAACTTGGTCATGCTTCACATGCCAAGTTACTTGAACTCAATAAAAGTTTTCCTTTCATTAAACATATCAATAAAAATCTTCTTTGTGATGTATGTTTTTATGCTAAACAAAAGAGTTTACCTTTTCATCTTAATTCTTATGTTTCTCATTCAGTTTTTGATCTAATACATAAGGATATTTAGGGTCCTTTGGCATCATCATCCATTATGGGATATAGGTATTTCTTAACCATTGTTGATGATGAAATTAGATTCACATGGCTTTTTCTTATGAGACTAAAATCTGAAATAACATCCCTCATTAATAATGGCCCAAACTCAATTCAATTGCCACATAAAATGTATTAGATCTGATAATAGAAATGAATTCATCCTCACTAAATTTTACAAATAGTTTAGCATTATTCATCAAACATATTGTGTTGCTACTCCTCAACAAAATATCATTGTTGAAAGGAAGCACCAAAACATCTTAGGCATCACTAGAGCTTTATTGTTCCAAGCCCACTTACCAACTATTTTTTGGGCTCGTGTTGTGCACATCACTAGAGATTTAATCAATGATGCAAGCCTACTTGGTGTAAAACCTTGTGCTACCCCTATGCAGCTTCGTCTTCAACTTCACACTCAACTTGGAACTCTCTTATCTTAATCAACCACTTATCGAAGACTCATTGGCCGCCTCTTATATCTCACCCACACCAGACCAGAAATTGCTTATGCTGTAAGCAAAACTCAACCAATTTCTTGCTGCTCCCACTGATAACCATATGTTAGTTGGTATTCATGTTCTAAAATATCTAAGAATCACCCAGGCTAATGCCTATTCTTCAGCTATACATCCCTATTATGTCTTAAAGGATTCTCAGAATCAGATTGGGGTGCATATCCTGACACGCGCAGGTCCACATCAGGCATTAATTTCTTCCTTGAAGAATCCCTCATTAGTTGGAAAAGTAAAAAGTAAGTTGTGACATCATGTAACACTCCAAATTTTTATTGAAATATTTAAATTAATTTATTTAATTGAGAATATTAGTATTTTGGTGATTTTGGGTGGTTTGGTGGAATATTGATGCATTTTTGGGTTATTTATTTCAAATAATAGTATATAATATGGATATATTAATATTATTATGAATTAAAATAAATATAAGTTGGATAAGGGCAATTTGGACAATTAAGAGGAGTAAGTGAGGGTATTATGGGAAAAGCCCAATTGTGAGGCCCAAGTCTAGGTTTAACAAAAAGGAAATCCTGAAGAGATTAAGATTCATTTTGTTAACCGTGAAGAGAATTGAGGTCAGAGCTCTGAGGAGGGAGAATTGGAGGCAAAAGCTTCGAAAGATTCCCTGAAGAATTTGTGAAGGCTTTGAATCGACGATTAAGGTATGGGGAGTATAACATTTCATGATTTTTCATGTGTGACTTTCAATGTAATTGTGGATGATTTAAGGTTTAAGGGATTTTGGGATTGATTTTGAGAAATAGGGAAACTAGGCCTTCGTGGCCAAACTCGGATTTGACATTGGTCTAACCCCATAGGTAAATTTGATAGTGAGAACCATGAAGATTGTGGTGTAGTGGTAAGTATTCCTGACTGTTAGAGCACAGATATGAGAAATAGTGATCTTTGGCCTTCGTGGCCTAAACCTGTTAGTATGAATATAACCGTGGAATCCGTTGGGGAAAAAGGAAAGGTAGGCCTTCGTGGCCAAAACCTTGAATTGTTATAGGTCTGGCTCTGAAGGGATAAGAATATTGGATAGTGAGTAATCCTAATGAGTAAGGTGTAATTGAAGGAAAAATTGTGATTTAGGGCGTGAATATGTTACAGGATTGGCCTAATGGACCGTAGGTTTTGTGCCTTTATCGCCGTAA